GCCAGCAGACCAGGTTCAGAGCATTTGTTGTCATCAGAGATTACCATGGACACGTCGGTCTGGATGTCAAGTGCTCCAGGGAGATAGCCACTGCCACCCTGGTCGAGCTTGCCATCGCCCTGTGTGGGGAGGCTACTGGGGGAACAAGATCAGCAAGCCCCACGCTCTGTGCTGCCCCCAGAGGCACGGACATGGTCTCAGCCCCTGTGCCCAAGAAGCTCCTGAGGATGGCTGGTATTGACAACTCTACATCTCAGCCAGGGACGACTTTGCCAAGGCTACTTTGGATGCCATCTCCAAGACCTACGCCTAGCTCACCCCTGACCTCTGGAAAGAGACGGTGTTCACCAAGTCTCCCTATCAGGGATTTACTGACCATCTTGTAAAGACCCACACCAGAGTCTCCGTGCAGAGGACCCAGGCTCCAGCGGTGGCCACCACATAGTTTTATACAAGAAAAATAAAGTGAACTGAGGCTCTTGGTCTTGTGGTTTTGTTTTCTACTATTTAAGAGTTAAATTTTTTCCTCATGTAAAAATGGCCTTTTAGGAGCACCTGGGTAGCTCAGTCGGTTAAGCATCCAACTCTTGATTTCAGCTCAGGTCAGGATCTCAGGGTGGTGAGATCGAGCCCCACATTGAGCCCCACATTGAGCCCCCGTCAGGTTCCGTGCTGGGCATGGAGCCTGCTTAGGATTCTCTCTCTTCCACTCCCTCTGCCCCTCCCCCAACTCCCTCTCTTAAAAAAAAAACTTTCTTTTCCGCTATGGTTAGGAAGTCCAGAGTCCACTGTTAACCCAGACAAATCATTGACAACAAAGTTATATCTTTATAATGGAGATGTTGACATAATATTAACTTCTGGCAATGCTGCAGGCGAAGTTATATCAAGGACAACCACACATTCTTCCAAGGTTACTTTCCTGGAAGGTAAATTTTTGCTTAGCAACAACTTACTCAAAAGATAATGGTGCATACCCATGTACAGTTTTATCAAGATTAATTGATTATCTTAAAAATTATGTCCTTAGACCACCCAACAGCAAAACACTGCCAGGGCACCCAATATATATATCGAGTTAGAGATACAGAATATTCCTTTGCTACAGGTTGTTATGGGAATCTAAGGAAGATGGACTGTGAATCCATTACATTTTGGCCCCACAATTAACATGCAATTTCATAATTTGGAATTTAATGATTAATGAAATGAAGCAGGAAAACTCATATTCCCAAAAAAGGGGCAAAATAAAATGTGTTGCATGAAAGCACATAAAGCCCTTTGAATACTGGTGGGGATGGGGGTGGGGGTTGGGGGCCTTAGAGTCAGGTGTGATGCAAGGCTCTCCCAAGATCCAAGGTACCCTTTCAGGGCCTCCTTAGGTCTCTCACTTCAGCCATTCAATAAACATTCACTGAAAGTCTGCTCTGTGCAAAGCACTAAAGTAAAAGCAAGGGGAAATACCAGGAGGATTAAGGATTGGTCTCCATCCTTCAGGACATTTATGCAGGCAGAATAGTAATATAAAGAGCCATGGAAGCCCAGAGCAAGGGAGAGTTATAAGAGTGAAGGCTTCATGGACAAAATACAGTTGAGCTGGACTTTGAATGGATAGATCAGTACATGGTTATACTAGATAGGGTGGGGACGGGGAGAGGCTATACCCAGGACAAAGCACAGACCATTCCCAGCAACGGTGGAGGGAAGCGACCTCAGAGAAAGGACAGTGAATACAAGCGTGTGGGGTGGTAGTGCATGTGTCATGGGCAATAAGATAACCACCATCGCTCCTTTCACTGTCCTGGATGCCAGACACTCTACCCATTAAAATGACCGGGCTTGGATGGTGCTGGTCCTTATATAACATCATGCTCTGGTGTTCAAATCATTAATGGTTTTATGAGTGTGTGTGTGTGTGTGTGTGTGTGTGTGTGTGGTCAAGTAGACATATCAGAAAGCTTACCATTTCAACCCTTTTTTTTTTTTTTGAAAGAGAGGGAACACAAGCAGGGGGAGTGGGAGAGGGAGAAGCAGGCTTCCCGCCGAGCAGGGAGCCCGATGCGGGGCTCGATCCCAGGACCCTGGGATCATGACCTGAGCCGAAGGCAGACGCTTAACGACTGAGCCACCCAGGTGACCCCCATTTCAACCCTTTTAAAGTGGTGTAGGTCCAGGGTGCCTGGGTGGCTCAGTTGGTTGGGCAACTGCCTTTGGCTCAGGTCATGATCCTGGAGTCCCGGGATCGAGTCCCACATTGGGTTCCTGGCTCAGCAGGGAGCCTGCTTCTCCCTGTGGCCCTCTCCCCTCTCATGTTGTTTCTCTCTCTCTCTCTCAAATAAATAAATAAATAAATAAATAAATAAATAAATAAATAAAATAAAGTGTATAGGTCCAGTGACATTGAGTACATTCACACTGCTGTGCAGCCATCACCACCAGCCAGCTCCAGAACTTTCCATGAATGATTTTTGAGCAGGAGCATGAAGGAATCACAGAGGGCATTAGCAAAATGACTAGTAGCAGCTTGCAGGACCACCTGAGCTGTCCTCACATGCTTACGGGGAAGGTGAGAGAGAGGACAGGGAACATGTGAGGAGGTTATTGCAAGTCACTTGGTGCGAGGAGGAGAGTAGATCCTCCCTGGGAAAGAAAGAGGGGATAGCCATGTGTACACCACTCTCCACCTACAAGGACAGAAGAGACTGAACGGTTTGGTCGGGGAGGGGAGCAGGACTCTAAAGTGATTTCTGAGACCCAGAAAACTGAGAATATGGGTGTATTATTTATTGATGGTATTTATCAATATTAGCTAATTTCAGAAATAGGCAAGGCTGGGAGAAAAAAGTAGGTCCAAGAATAAAAGAGCAGGGAAGATGAGAAGCTCCTCTGATGAATCTGAGACTCTCGGTGAGACAATTATTTGAAACATGCAGCTTGGAGTAGGAATTCCAGCTTAGCCTGCAAAAGAGATTAGAGGTGTGAATTTTTTGGTTTTCTCTGAGGCGAGAATATTTGAAGCCAAAATGGCATGTGAAATATGTTCCTCTTCTTGGCCGGGGGTCGGGGGGAAGAAAAGGAAAATGTTCCTGTTCTCCTTTTCAGGGAATTTCTACTTCCTGAATTCACTATATTCTTCCTCCCAGAAAAAGCTACTTTGCAACTAAATCAGCCATAGTTGCTAAAATGTAACTGGCAGGCGCCTGGGTGGCTCAGTCGTTAAGCATCTGCCTTCGGCTCAGGCTCAGGTCATGGTCCCAGGGTCCTGGGATTGAGCCCCACATCGGGCTCCCTGCTCTGCGGGAAGCCTGCTTCTCCCTCTCCCACTCCCCCTGCTTGTGTTCCTGCTCTCGCTATGTCTCTCTCTGTCAAAAAAATAAATAAAATCATTAAAAAAATAAAAATAAAATAAATAAAATATAACTGGCAATCTAACCCATATGCCCATCCATAGGCCTAAGAAAAATATATAAGTGGTATTTTGCGTCATGCTAAGGACTTTACAGGTAATCTGATAGACTATTTACAACAACCCTCTGAATAACTATCACTAGCCCCATTAGCTCACTTCAAGCCACACAGTAAGTACCAGAGTCAGAATTTGGCCCAGGTCAGCCTAACTATAAAGCCCATACCCTCCGAAGCACTTCCCTGATGGTTTTTAATTAGTCCCTAGAAAACATACGATTTCCTGTTTAAATGCGTACTCCCTTGTTCTCTCTTTTTCTACTTTCAATTTTTTACAGATGAAATAAAATTCTTCTGTGACTCTACAAAGAGCTAGGTACTAATGGAGTTAATCCTCAGGGTTCAAGCTACCCTTTGTTGATAAAATAGTTTGGAAATTTTTTAGTTATGGAGGCACTGAAGAATTTTTCTCTCGACTTCTATAATATTATAATCTCTCCAACAGCAAAGACAGTTTTCATTCATTAAATAAACATTTTTTTAAAAAAATTTGTTTTTCTTTAGCAATGCAACAGAGACCTCTTCTGGTCAAGAAGCAGAAGTCTTAGGCGGAGAACCAACGTGGGGAAAGTGAAGGCGGCAAGATGAAACACGAAACAGGTTTCGTCTAAGAGTTGACATTGACTTTGGGGCTGAACTCTGACAAGCAGAACAGAGAGAGGGATGATCCCACACATAGGGAGCAGTGTGTACAGGAGTGGAAGTGTTCTTTCTTTTCTGATGATAAAATACATATTTACTGTAGATAATTTATAAAGATACAGGATATAAGAATCATTCATAACTCTACCATCCAGAAATTATACTATATAAATATTCTGGTGCATGGCTTTCTGCATTGTTTTCTGGTGACATATATTCTTTTTTGTCCACAAAACTGCATAAATCCTGATTTTTCTTTTCTTTTTTTTTAATAAGATTTTTTTTTTTTTTATTTGACAGAGAGAGAGAGACAGCGAGAGAGGGAACACAAGCAGGGGGAGTGGGAGAGGGAGAAGCAGGTTTCCCGCGGAGCAGGGAGCCCGATGTAGGGCTCGATCCCAGGACCCTGGGATCATGACCTGAGCTGAAGGCAGATGCTTAATGACTGAGCCACCCAGGCACCCCTGATTTTTCATTCAGTGTTTTATCACACCTATTTCTCCATATTCTTTTTTTTTTTTTTTTTTAAGTAGGCTCCACTGGGCATGGAGCCTGACATGGGGTTGAACTCATGACCCTGATATCAAGACCTGAGCTGAGCTCAAGAGTCAGACGCTTAACCAACTGAGCCACCCAGTTGCCCCTTTCCATATTCTTAAAAGAAGAAAAAGATGGGGCGCCTGGGTGGCTCAGTCGTTAAGCGTCTGCCTTCGGCCCAGGTCATGATCCCAGGGTCCTGGGATCGAGCCCCGCATCGGGCTCCCTGCTCTGCGGGAAGCCTGCTTCTCCCTCTCCCACTCCCCCTGCTTGTGTTCCCTCTCTCGCTGTGTCTCTCTCTGTCAAATAAATAAATAAAATCTTAAAAAAAAAAAGAAGAAAAAGATGTATTCTGATAGCCAGGCTTCTCTTGGTAAATCATGTAAAAGCCAGAGGAGTTTCAATGAATACTTTTATATGGTCTCCATATTGCCAGGACCCCCATTAATGCACGGAGATGCACACAGCATGGTGAGTGGATTGCTGGCTACATTCCAACTCCTGCTCATCTTCTCAGCCAGACTCCCTTTCTCTGCCAGACCTGCACTTGGCGGCCCCTCAGCTTGTCAGGAAGCTAACTAGTAAAGTCAAATATGATCACCAATGTTCTCGGTGTGTGAAAAACACATCAATTGGCTTTTTTGACCTTGGAAATCCCAGAGATTTCTAGGCCCAAGATGGAGCTGCTCCAGCCCAGGATGTCATGTCAGCAAAACAAAGCTTAGATAACTGTCAGGTCCCTGAAAATGCTCTGCCTGATCAGAAATGCAGTATATCCCAAGCCAACTATGGATTGTGTACTTCCTCCCTTGTTTCTTATTTTTTTTTTTTAAGACTTTATTTATTTGTCAGAGAGAGAGAGAGAGAGAGAGAGAGCACAAGCAGGGGGAGGGGCAGAGGGAGAAGCACACTCCCTGCTGAGCAGGGAGCCCGACGTGGGACTTGATCCCAGGATTCTGAGATCATGACCTGAGCCGAAGGCAGACGCTTAACTGGCTGAGCCACCCAGGTGTCCCTGTTTCTTATTCTTTATCCTATAAAAGCTTCTTGCCTTCCACTCCATTCTGTAGTTTTCCTAGTAGAAGCAATCCACTTAAAGTGTTAAATAAAGTTTGTATCACCTAAACTGTCTTAATAATTTTTAACACCCTGTATATATACACTTTTTTTTTTTTACTTTATTTATACTTTAGTGATCTTTAAGTTGATGTCAGATGGACATCTTTGTCCTTTTTTATAACAGTTTCCTTCATGTGGTAATCATATATGAACACCTGGCTGGGTGAAGTATGGCTTAGACCGACTATGATCTTTTTTAAACTGTGGTAAGGGACGCCTGGCTGGCTCAGTCAGTAGAGCGGGCGACTCTTGATCTTGGGGTTTTGAGTTCAAGCCCCATTTGGGTGTAGAAATTACTTAAAAAATAAAAAGAATCTTTAAGAAAATTGTGGTAAAATATACATGACATAAAATTCACTTTAACCCTTTTTGAATGTACAATTCAGTGGCTATAAGTACATTTACCTTGTCCTGCAACTTCTCCAGAATTTTCTTATTTCAAACTGAAACCCTGTACCCATTAAACAGAAACCCTATTCTCCCCTCCTCTGCTGCTTTTGGTAACTATTACTCTTTCTTTCCCTAGGAATTTGATTATTCTAGGTATCTAAGAGGAATTATACAATTTTTGTCCTTTTGTGGACAAATTTAGCACAATATTTTCAAGATTCCTCCATGTTGCAGCATGTATCAGAATTTCAGGGCAATTTATGGCTGAATAATATTCCATTGCATGCATATACTGCATTTTGCTTATGTATTCATCTGTCGGTGGACACTTGAGTTGTTTCTACATCTTGGGTCTTGTGAAAATGTTATTAGGAACATTGACACACAAATATCTGCTCGAGTCCCTGCTTTCAGATCTTTTTTTTTTTTAAGATTTTTTTTAAAGTAATCTCTACACCCAGTGTGGGACTCGAACCCACAATAACCCTGAGATCAGAAGCTGGACGTTCTACCGCCTGAGCCAGCCAGTTGCACCCTCCCCCCCTTCCGCCTTCAATTCTATACCTAGAAGGGGAAGTCCTGGATCATAACGTAATTCTATGTTTAATTGCTTGAGAAACCACTACACCCTCCTCCCAGGTGGTGCACCATTTTGCATATGGTCATTTTTAGGTTGTTAAATTACACTCATCCATTTTTTGCTGCAGGAATACAGTGCTTGGATACACTGAACCAATACAAAAAAATACGCTCCAGCTGAAATCGTGCGGTGTATCATAGAGGTATCTGCCAAACACTTCAAATTACCATGTGAAATCATTGCCAGGACCCACGGCCTTGGTGGGGGGAGGTGTGTTGGTGAGGTGGGGCAGAAAGGTGGTGCTGGGGCAGGCAGAAAAGCAGTAGAAATAACTCCACATCCTGCCACTCTTTCTCAGTGAGGCTCCTCTGACCCAGAGTTTTGGAGGATGATGAACAGCAAAGGAGTGAGGAGAAGGGAAAGAAGAACACAGTGAGGATAGATGGTTGGATGGGATCCATCAGTTAAAAGTCTTAACTATTGGGTATGAAATTAGTTTCACTGAGAGTCTGCCTTGCCCCACCCCCCACCCTCTTCAACTCCGATGTTCTCAGAGCCCGTTTGCTTTCAAAAACTTGTATAATGGATCAAGAGTACAACTGACTTGTAGCCTTTAAACAAGTTGAAACTGTAGGGGAAACACAATGGTACAATGGGCTTAAATTTGTGGCGAGAGAAAGAGATTGAGATTGAAATACTGCGACACTTTATTCTTCCAGCCTCAGACCAGTCGCCTCCTGAAGCCGTGGGAGATCACAGTGCTTTGGTATCTGGAGAGTGGTGAATGCAGAGGCATATCGGCAATTTTTATTTCTGGGGGGCCTTTCTTCAAGACAACTTTCCGGTCTTCCCCATGGCAAAGCCTTTCGCTGTGATTCAAAAACAGAGAGTCTTCTAAAGGGCCAGCATGGATCCCACACGCTTCTGCGTGCTAAGGGGGGGAAAAAGATCCCACTGTAAATCACACCAAACAGCACTTGATTAGAGGAGGATGGAGATTCCTCAATGGTTTTTCCTAACTAGGGAAGGTCTAGGGGTGCCTGGATGGCTGTCAGTTAAGCACCCAACTCCTGGTTTTCAGCTCAGGGTCTTGGGGTTCAGCCCCGCGATGGGCTCTGCACTCAAGAATGCAACGCGGAGTCTGCTTGTCCCTCTCCCTGTGCTCCATCCCCTGAGCGGACTCTCTCTAATAAATAAATAAAATCTTTTTTAAAAATTAAGGAAGGTCTAGTGGACAGAGCACTATAACATCCCTTTTTAATTTTTATTTTTTTTTAGATTTTTGTTTATTATTTATTTGAGAAAGAGAAAGAGCACAAGCAGGGGGAGGAGCAGAGGGAGAGGGAGATGCAGACTCTCCGCTGAGCAGGGAGCCCGATGTGGGGCTCGATCCCATGACCCTGAGATCATGACCTGAGCCGAAGGCAGACGCTTAAATGACTGAGCCACCCAGGTGCCCCAACATCCTTTTTTTTTTTTTCTCTTTAAGGCGATGATCTCTAGCTCGTGTCTGGATCACCAGGAAGAGTGGTGTGGGCTGCTGACTAATCATGTAGTCCTTCACTGATTGTGGGACCTTGTACAAGTCACTTATCCCGCTGTGAGACTCGGTTTTCTCAAATATGAAATGGGTATTAGTCAAGGATTCTTTGAGTGTTGAATAAAACATTATATGTGAATGAAAAGACGTTGGCCAACTTCGAAGTATGAGATCAATATTCACTCTGCTGCGGCCCTAGGCCTGGAGAAAATAGCAGGCACTTGAGCCACTGTCTTACCTATGCATCTACTTCTGCGCTGAATCGCACTCTGGGGGGGTCTTGGGGTGCAGCCCCATCTCCACTAGGCTGTGTTCTCACTGTGGTGTTGCATAGTTACATCCTCTCCAGCGGGAAAAATGGTGAAGGTAAATGGAAGGAAGGAAAACATAGCTGGCATTCACCCAGGCTACATTCATTTCATTCAGTTCTCAATTTTCTTTTTTTTTTTCTTTTTAAGTGTTTGTATTTAGGGGCGCCTTCATGGCTCAGTCTGTCTTCAGCTCGGGTCATGATCCCAGGGTCCTGGGATGGAGCCCGGAGTCGGGCTCCCTGCTTAGAGGGGAGTCTGCTTCTCCCTCTTGCTCTGTCCTTCCCCACCTCTCTCTCTCAAATAAATAAATAAGATCTTTAAAAAAAGAGTTTGTATTTATTTGCAAGAGAGAGCAAGTGCGTGCGTGCGTGTGCATGAGTGGGGGGGGGGGTGCAGAGGGAGAGGGAGAGGGAGAAGCAGGGTCCCGGCTGAGCAAGGATCCCAGGACCCCAGGATCATGACCTGAGCTGAAGACGGACGCCAAGGAGGCGCCCCTCACTTAATTTTCATTTTTACTCTGTCAGGGAGAATTTCCTCTACACCAGTCACTAATATTATTTTTTAAATTGTCAGGAGTGCTGTCAACTTAATTGCACAAGTGAAACAGTGAAGAGAAAATTACGCTGGATTGTAGCTCTCAAGAGGGAGGTCAAGACATATTCAAAACAGCTTTTCGTTGTTGACTTCAGCTCAAAGTTTATACACCCCGTAATTCTGGCAAATGGAAAAGATAAAGTCAGCACTAATATTTTCACCATGCTCAAGCTATTTGCGACACGAAAAATGACTTGACAAGCCACTGAATTATAAGAAATACAGTCCAGGGCGCCTGGGTGGCTCAGAGGGTTAAGCGTCTGCCTTCGGCTCAGGTCATGATCCCAGGGCCCTGGGATCGAGTCCCGCATCGGGCTCCCTGCTCCTTGGGAGCCTGCTTCTCCCTCTGCCTCTCTCTCTCTCTCTGTCTCTCATGAATAAATAAATAAAAATCATAAGAAAAAAAGAAATACAGTCCAATATTAAGACCACAGAGAAGTCTTAATACAGGTAAATTTGATATGTTGAGTCTAGATTTCCTCCATTTTATATTTGTTTCCAAAATATCAGATAAAAATACATACAAAATAATCATTTCAGGGCTAATGGCAGCTTCATTTACTATATTGTTTGTAGTTTGTAAAAAAAATAATTAAGCTGTATTTTTGATATATTTTATATATCATATATTCATATTTTATTATGTTATCTCTTGGTAAAGTATATTCTTTTTTTTTTTTTTTAAGATTTTATTTATTTATTTGAGACAGAGAGAATGAGAGACAGTTTGAGCATGAGAGGGAGGAGGGTCAGAGGGAGAAGCAGACTCCCTGCCGAGCAGGGAGCCCGATGCGGGACTCGATCCCGGGACTCCAGGATCATGACCTGAGCCGAAGGCAGTCGCTTAACCAACTGAGCCACCCAGGCACCCGGTAAAGTATATTCTTATTCAAGCTTAATTGCTTAGCTGTTAGAAACTTACAAATTTATGCAAACCCTTTTCTTTCTAGGAATCCTAACTTGAAATCTCCTATTATAGTCTATTACAATAGATTCTATTCTACTTTTTTAAAAAATATTTTATTTATTTATTTGACAGAGTGAGTGAGTGAACACAAGCAGGGGGAGTAGCAGAGGGAGAGGGAGAAGCAGGATCCCGGCTGAGCAGGGAGCCCGATGCGGGGCTCGATCCCAGCACCCTGGGATCATGACTTGAGCTGAAGGCAGATGCTTAACAAGCTGAGCCACCCAGGTGCTCCTATTTTACTCTTTTTTTTTTTTTTTTAAGATTTTATTTATTGTATTAGAGAGAGAGATCTCATGAGCAAGGGGAGGGGCAGAGGGAGAGAGACTCCCAAACAAATCTGCACTGAGCAGGGAGCCTGATGCAGGGCATGATCCCAGTGGGATCATGACCTGAGCTGAAGGCAGACACTTAACTGACTGAGCCACCCAGGCGCCCCTGAGTTAATTCATAATTGCAAGTTGCCATTATGTGGAGAAAGGTAGACAGAGAGTTCTGAAAGCTTTGGGTGTATCTATTTTAAGTTTGTCTTTGGCCTCAAATATTTGAATAGATGTTGCTATTTAACTGTTCCTTGCAAGTTTATGTGAAAGTACATCAAATAGCTTATAGTTTTTGTCGGACAATAGAATGGTGGTTACCAGGGCCTAGAGGAGGGAGAAATGGGGAGACATAGGTCAAAGGGCACAAACTTTCATTATTAAGACCAAGTTCTGAAGATCTAATGTTCAGCTTAGTAACAATAGTTAATAATACAGTATTGTATCCTCGAAAGTTGCAGAGAGTAGACCTTAAGCTCATCAGAAGAAAAAATGAGTTAACACTGTGAGGTGATGAATGTGTTAATTATCTTGATCCTGGTAATTATTCTACAGTGTGTATGTTATCAAGTCATCATGTTGTCTACTTTAAATACATATATTTATTATTCCCAATAAAGCTGGAAAAAATAAATATAAATTTAAAAATAGCTTTTGTATAGTTACATATTTATTCATAGGTATATTAAAGTATATTATTTAACTATGAATTTTTTATTATGAACATTTATAGGAAAATACCTGCAGATTCACATTCCTGAATTTCATGTTTTCTTTCCAAGGCATAATGTAACGTCTTGGGATCATCCCTTGCTTTAATGAAAACCGTGGTAAATGAACCTCATTACACCTGAAGATTAGGAAGGCAGGAAGGAAGGATATCTGGTGAGTTCAATACACTCGTTTTAGCGTTATTCATGTGTTGTGTCCATGATGTTTGAACCCCCCCAGCTGCAGGACAGAGAGCTACGGCATTGTTTGAGGCTCATCTAATACTGAACCCATTAAAACTCCAAGTATCACCAAGATCAGGAGTCCGGCCTGAATATCTGTACCTCCAACTGCATGCTGTCTTTTACATCTTGCTTGCAGTGTTCCTTTAACCTGATACTAAGGGAGAAGGCAGTACACCATGATTTGCCCCAGGCCCGCCCGTGGCCTAAATATGTCTCTGACCAGCCACAAACAACAGCTTCGGAATTTAGTACCGGCTTTATGCTCAGGGCAGACTTGCTTTCCCTGCCCACCCACTGTTTCCCTCTGAAACATCAAGCTTTCTAGACAGATGCCAAGGGAAGCACAAAATGTTTGTCCTCATCTGTGTGTCACTCCCGGAGGGCAAACAAAACAAAACCGAACACAAAACCCCCAAACCCGGAACCCTCAAGTCCTCACTTATTAGAAGGCTTATATGAACTCTCCTCACAACAGCTGTTGGCAAGCTTAGGTAAGATAGGACAAGTGTCTTTCCCTGAGGCCATCACGGCCAGTAGGGAGAGACTTCTCTTCTAGAACTTCACTAACTCACTCCTCTAATTATGATGACATTGTTGCCTCAGACAGAACACTGTCTTGCTAACTTCACAGCAACTCAGAGCAGTTACATTAGCAGGTGATTAAGAACATAGAGAGCTTAGGGGCGCCTGGGTGGCTCAGGCGGTTAAGCGTCTGCCTTCGGCTCAGGTCATGATCCCAGGGTCCTGGGATCAAGCCCCACATCGGGCTCCCTGCTTAGTGCGGAGCCTGCTTCTCCTTCTCCCTCTGTCTGCTTCTCCCCCTGCTTGTGCACACACTCTCCCTCTGTCAAATAAATAAAATCTTAAAACAAAACAAAAAAAAGAATGTAGAGCTTAAAGGATGCTGGCTGGCTCAGTTGAAAGAGCGCATGATTCTTGATCTTGGGGTCGTGAATTCAAGCCCCCACGTGGGCTGTAGACAGTAAATAAACAAAACTTGAAAACGTAGTTTTTAAAAATGTGGAGATTAGGGCTATTTTTAGTGTTTGGTTTTTTTTTTAATATCCCTATGACTAAAACATCATTCTTTTTTTTTTAAATTTTTTTATTCTTATGTTAATCACCATACATTACATCATTAGTTTTTGATGTAGTGTTCCATGATTCATTGTTTGCGTCTAACACCCAGTGCTCCATGCAGAATGTGCCCTCCTCAATACCCATCACCAGGCTAACCCATCCTCCCACCCCCCTCCCTTCTAGAACCCTGTTTGTTTTTCAGAGTCCGTCGTCTCTCATGGTTCGTCTACCCCTCCGATTTCCCCCCCTTCATTCTTCCCCTCCTGCTACCTTCTTCTTTTTTTTTTTCTTAACATATATTGCATTATTTGTTTCAGAGGTACAGATCTGAGATTCAACAGTCTTGCACAATTCACAGCACTTACCAGAGCACATACCCTCCCCAGTGTCTATCACCCAGTCACCCCATCCCTCCCACCCCACCCCCCACTCCAGCAACCCTCAGTTTGTTTCCTGCGATTAAGAATTCCTCATATCGGGCGCCTGGGTGGCTCAGTTGGTTAGGCGACTGCCTTCGGCTCAGGTCATGATCCTGGAGTCCCTGGATCGAGTCCCGCATCGGGCTCCCTGCTCGGCAGGGAGTCTGCTTCTCCTCTGCCCCTCCCCCCTCTCATGTGCTCTCTCTCATTCTCTCTCTCTCAAATAAATAAAATCTTTAAAAAAAAAAAGAATTCCTCATATCAGTGAGGTCATATGATACATGTCTTTCTCTGTTTGACTTATTTCACTCAACATAATACCCTCCAGTTCCATCCACGTCATTGCAAATGGCAAGATCTCATTCCTTTTGATGGCTGCATAATATTCCATTGTGTATATATACCACATCTTCTTTATCCATTCATCTGTTGATGGACATCTTGGCTCTTTCCACAGTTTGGCTATTGTGGACATTGCTGCTATAAACATCGGGGTGCATGTACCCTTTCAGATCCCTACTTTTGTATCTTTGGGGTAAATACCCAGTAGTGCAATTGCTGGATTGTATGGTAGCTCTATTTTCAACTTTTTGAGGAACCTCCATACAGTTTTCCAGAGTGGCTGCACCAGCTTGCATTCCCATCAACAGTGTAGGAGGGTTCCCCTTTCTCCGCATCCCCGCCAACATCTGTCGTTTCCTGACTTGTTAATTTTAGCCATTCTGACTGGTGTGAGGTGGTATCTCATTGAGGTTTTGATTTGGATTTCCCTGATGCTGAGCGATATTGAGCACTTTTTCATGTGTCTGTTGGCCATTTGGATGTCTTCTTTGGAAAAATGTCTGTTCATGTCTTCTGCCCATTTCTTGATTGGATTCTTTGTTCTTTGGGTGTTGAGTTTGATGAGTTCTTTATAGATTTTGGATACTAGCCCTTTATCTGATATGTCATTTGCAAATATCTTCTCCCATTCTGTCGGTTGTCTTTTGGTTTTCTTGACTGTTTCCTTTGCTTTGCAAAAGCTTTTTATCTTGATGAAGTCCCAATAGTTCATTTTTGCCCTTGCTTCCCTTGCCTTTGGCGATGTTTCTAGGAGGAAGTTGCTTCGGCTGAGGTCGAAGAGGTTGCTGCCTGTGTTCTCCTTTAGGATTTTGATGGACTCCTGTCTCACATTGAGGTCTTTCACCCATTTGGAGTCTATTTTTGTGTGTGGTGTAAGGAAATGGTCCAGTTTCATTCCTCTGCATGTGGCTGTCCAATTTTCCCAACACCATTTGTTGAAGAGACTGTCTTTTTTCCACTGGACATTCTTTCCTGCTTTGTCAAAGATTAGTTGACCATAGAGTTGAGGGTCCATTTCTGGGCTCTCTATTCTGTTCCATTGATCTATGTGCCTGTTTTTGTGCCAGTACCATACTGTCTTGATGATGACAGCTTTGTAATAGAGCTTGAAGTCCGGAATTGTGATGCCACCAGCTTTGCTTTTTTTTTTTCAACATTCCTCTGGCTATGCGGGGTCTTTTCTGGTTCCATACAAATTTTAGGATTATTCGTTCCATTTCTTTGAAAAAAGTGGATGGTATTTTGATAGGGATAAAACATCATTCTTATCATGAACAATTAAAAAACTGAGAATGCTTGCAGACATATTACAAATTTGACACAAACATCCTAGGTAACATTTTGGACTATGCAACTGTTATTCACGAAGTAGCCCTTCATATTAACATTCTGTATTTGTCCTTAGCTGATTGTCCTATTTATATACTGCCCATGGTGGATGTGTCTCTTTTATGTTTCACCATCTATTGCTTAGACACACCCTTTAAGAGTGGAAATGAAATGTTTAAACCCAAAACCATCCCAACCCATTTTATCCCCTAGGATGTGAGTTCTATTGCAGAGTATTTGAGATTATAAAAACTCATTTTAATACAGGGAGTGTGTCTTGCAAGTTACCACGAGAAGTGGAGGGCTAGTCGTGTCAATCCCATATTCAGCAAGTACAAAGAAGTCAGGCTGAGCAGCAAGAATTATTGCCAGATAGTTTGGTGAGAGTATTAACTGAATATAGACCTGACAATAGTTTGGATAGACATTTTTTTTTCTTTACGTAATCTCCTCGCCCAACGTGGGGCTTGAACTCATGGATCCCAGGATCGAGAGTCGCATGCTCTACCAGCTGAGCCAGCCAGGCGTCCCTGGATAGAGATTTCTAGATTTAGATGGGCAGAAAGAAGAGTAATTTTAATGGATAAAAAGTAAAGAACCTTAAAAATTGAAGTGTTGGGGAGGACTCCAGGCTCTGGTCTGTGCCCCATTGGGACCCTCACTCCATTCAGACCAGGTTATCTTGCTTCTGGAGCATGTCTTGGAGCAGAAGACCATGAACCCCCAAACTCCGCAAAGTCTTGAGAGGACATGCCAACTCCCCCAGTAGGATGCAGAGGTTCGCCATTGGTCACGTGAATTGTTTTTAAGCAAAAGTACAGAAAAGTGTAGAGATGTGGCGAAATTCCTTCAGGGGATCTGGCCATGGGCACACACCTCTATGGAGAGCTGATGGTGAGTGAGGACGCAAGGCGGCCAAGTCACCTGCAGGTGCTTTGAGTAGCCCAAGGAGCAGATGGGTAGGTCCTCAGCGGAGGTAGTGGCCAAGATGCTATTTTAAAGAGGAAACATCACAGTGAGATTCTTTTTCATACATCTACTCCTAGCCCTGGTGTGGCCTGGACGTTGAAGGCAGGCTAATGGGGCAGCTAAAGCCATCAGCCAAGAGCAGTACCCATGTCTCGGTGCTTCTCTTTGCAGAGGCTGCTCTTGGTCGATCTCATGGGGCTCCGTGAAGTGCCTTTGCTCCCTACTCTGGAATTGCCACCTCAAGATCCTGACCCTGAATTGGATCTTTTCTGTGAGGTTAAGGCAGTTCTTTCACACTAATGATTAAAGCCATCCGGGACACATCGAAAATCCTGCTAAGCATTTTGCATCAATCACCACAGCATATGCCTGCAAGAGGTGCTGCTCTGCAGAACTATTTTTTTTTTTTTAAGATTTTATTTATTTAGGGGCACCTGGGTGGCTCAGTTGGTTAAGCGACTGCCTTCGGCTCAGGTCATGATCCTGGAGTCCCTCCTCCCTCTCATGTGCTCTCTCTCATTCTCTCTCTCTCTCAAATAAATAAATAAAATCTTTTTTTTTATTTTTTTGTGAGAGAGAGAATGAGAGACAGAGAGCATGAGAGGGAGGAGGGTCAGAGGGAGAAGCAGACTCCCCGCCAAGCAGGGAGCCCGATGCGGGACTCGATCCCGGGACTCCAGGATCATGACCTGAGCCGAAGGCAGTCGCTTAACCAACTGAGCCACCCAGGCGCCCTCTGCAGAACTATTTTGATTGGTGTTTATTATTTAGGTATTTTCAAAACTTGAGTACCTTTCGGTAAAAATGCAGGATAAGTATCCAAGATGTAGTGATAATAAAATGTCATGGATTACTAAGAAACAAAACAAAACACCTCAAGTGTTGGTTTCTATTTAACATTAGGATGTAATCCTAATGTAATTCAGAAATCCATGGTTTCCAAATGGTAACAACTACTGGTGACAATGAACCAGGGAGCGGCTGGGTGGCTCAGCCCGTGAAGGGTCTGCCTTCGGCTCAGGTCATGATCCCGGGGTCCTGGGAGCAAGCCCCTGCTTCGGGCTCCCTGCTTGGTGGGAAGCCTGCTTCTCCCTCTCCACTCCTGCTCTCTAATAGATAGATAAAAATCTTTAAAAAAAAGAAAAAAGAAAAAGAACCAGGACAGACCATTTAGTGAAGATGAAGTAACCTCAGATGTTAATACCCTTCAAAAAAACCTTAACTTTCACTAGAAAATTTAGCAATATTTACACAAACGTATGGCATTTAAGGTGGCAGGGACGCCTGGGTGGCTCAGTCGGTTAAGCATCTGCCTTTGGCTCAGGTCATGATCAGGGTCCTGAGAGGCAGTCCCACTTCAAGTTCTGCTTCTCCCTCTCCGTGTCCCCTACCCCCACCACCCACCACCTCCCCACCCTGGCTTCCACTCTCTCACTCACTCTCGCTCTCTCAAATAAAATTTTATTTAAAAAAAAAAAAGTAAAGGGGCGCCTGGGTGGCTCAGTCATTAAGCGTCTGCCTTCGGCTCAGGTCATGATCCCAGGGTCCTGGGATGGAGCCCTGCATCGAGCCCCGCATCGGGCTCCCTGCTCGGTGGGAAGCCTGCTTCTCTCTCTCCCACTTCCCCCTGCTTGTGCTCCCATTTTCACTGTGTCTCTGTCAAATAAATAGATAAAATCTTTAAAAAAAAAACAAACACAAAAAAACGAAAGTGGCAGTTAACTGAATGTTATCTTTCCCAATGTATTACACTTTTAAAATCACCTCTCATGAATAATCTCAGGAACAATATTCAGTTACCTATTTAAAATACTTTCTTCCCTTGATTATAGCAATTTTATGCAAGAATATCTGAGATTTAAAAAAATAGTCCCTTGAGGGTCACCTGGCTGAATCAGTCAGAGGAGCATGAGACTCGTGATCTTGGAGTCTTGAGTTCGAGCCCCAGGCTGGGTGTAGAGATTACTTAAATAAATAAATCTTAAAAAAAAAAGTCACGGGGTGCCTGGGTGGCTCAGCCGTTAAGCGTCTGCCTTTGGCTCAGGTCATGATCCCAGGGTCCTGGGATTGAGCCCCGCGTCGGGCTCCCTGCTCAGCGAGAAGCCTGCTTCTCCCTCTCCCACTCCCCCCGCTTGTGTTCCCCCTCTCGCTGTGTCTCTCTCTGTCAGATAAATAAATAAAATCTTAAAAAAAAAAAAAAAAGTCACTTGAATCGCATTAAGGACTGCCCAAAATCTAATTTTATTTTTGCATTCTTTATGAATAAAAAGCAACCAATAACCACTTTCCTCTTCTTTTCCCACTTATAATA